TGTTTTTTTGAATAATTCTTCAATTTTTGCTCCAAACTTCGCATAAATTATGACTTGGGAAAATCTTTGTAGCCATATACCCTAAATCTGCCAAGAAAACAACAACAGTTTGATCTATTTTTTGAAAAATTTTACTTTTGAGACAGCCTTATACAATGTGTTCCCTTTTAGGATCGTCTTCTGGTATTGGAGCAGCTACTGCTGTCCTGTTCGCTAAGGAAGGTGCACAAGTAACAATTACCGGAAGAAATCAGGATGGACTTATGGTTAGGAAAATGATTGAAGATTTTCAAATTTTTTTCAAAAAAATTTTAGGCAACCAAGAAAGCTATGCTCAACGCAGGCGCAAATGAAGCAAATCTCAACATGGTGATTGCGGATGTGACCGATCCTCAGGGTAGAAAACAAATAATTTCAAGTACTATTGAGAAGTTTGGACAGTTGGATATTTTGGTAAGTTACCGCATCGTGCCTAAAGTTGAGATGTTGGAAAATCATAACTAGAAAACGAATTTTCCTGTTCAAGAACAAACGAAATAGCTACTCGCGATCAGAAACATTTTCTGCTTTTCCTCTCTGATTCCAGCAATCGAAGTATTATTTTCTATTCATTCCCTAATAGAAAGTGGAAATTGAGCAAGAACCACTAAATAACTGCCACTATAAAGTTTTATCCTAATTACTACATAGATCCGCCTACATCCCCGTCTTCATTTTTTGCAAATTTCGTTGGAATTAGTCAATTTTATTAGTTTTTTGTCTTAGGTCAACAATGCCGGTGCTGCATTCAACGGTGATGATGGCACATCTGGTATATCTAACTCCACAACTTTGCTGGAAAAGAATATGAACTTGAATGTCTACAGGTGAGGATCAACATTAATTGGCTTTTGAGTATGTAATTTCTTTAACTCTTTTAGCGTAGTGGACATGATCCAATTAGCCCGTCCATACCTGGTAAAGACTAAAGGTGAAATCGTCAACATTTCTAGCATTTGCGGCCAGCCAACATCAGTGAGTTCACAACTATTCCGCAAGTGCGGATTTGAAAGGTACAGAACTCCCAAAAATCTATTACAGTATGCACCCTTTGCCTATTATGCTATGTCGAAGGCAGCGCTGGATCAAATGATGAGATCAGCAGCGATCGATTTGATTAAGGAAGGAGTTCGAGTAAATGGTGTGAGGTAAGAATGTCTTGCATTAATTTATAAGCAAGTCATAGCGGACGAGTGGCGTAGTGGTATGAGGTGCCGCTATGACCAGATTGGACACAGTTCAATCCCCGCCCGTGGTCCAATCTAGCCCTCTACCCTCCGGGCCGGTAAGTTGGTACCAGAGTAATCTGGGAGGATAAA